TTGGCCCTGACGCCCCGGAGCTCCTCGTTGGCCCTGACGCCCCGTCCCGGCTCAGAGCTGATTTGAAGGAAGGATCCGTTTTGGGGCATAAAAATACGTTTTCAGGTTTTTCGGGAAGATTCTCTCCTTATCATTGATTGGATCTCGGTGATTTTGGGAACGGCTCTGATTGGCTCTTTGGGTTACAGGTGAAGGAAAGTAAGGAGAAGGAGAAGCTTGAGCGGAGGCTGCTGGAAGAATTGTTCAAAATGTTCATGGACTCGGACTCCTTCTACTACAGCCGGACCTATGACCTGACCAACACCGTGCAGAGGCAGAGCGCAAGTGAGAAGAGCGGGCTGCCTCTGTGGCAGAGGGTAAGTGCCCACAAGGGGGCGTGTCTTACGGGGGGGCGTGTCTACCTCTTTGGGGTTTTATGTAGGTGTGCCGCTGCTTTGAAGGAGGCTGAGTGGTGAATGGAGGGACGTGTTGGGTGAGGGGCTCCGCCGGTTCATTGTGGCACCTTCATGTTTTGGCAGTGAGGGGCGCTCCGGGTTGTGTGTTGGCGGTGTGAGGGGCGCCCAGGGTTGTGTGTTGGCGGTGTGAGGGGCGCTTCCTGTAGTGTGTGTTGGGGGTGTGGGGGGCGCTCCCTGTAGCGTGTGTTGGTGGTGTGCGGGGCGCTCCGGGTTGTGTGTTGGCGGTGTGAGGGGCGCTCCGGGTTGTGTGTTGGGGTGTGAGGGGCGCTCCGGGTTGTGTGTTGGCGGTGTGAGGGGCGCTCCGGGTTGCGTGTTGGTGGTGTGGGGGGCGCTCCCTGTAGCATGTGCATTGATGTAACCTCCTTTGTCATTATTAGGTGGACGAGCGATTCTTCTGGAACAGACACATGTTGCGGGATCTCATAGACCTCCAGGTGACAGAACATTGCGCAATCAAAGATACCGAGACGTGTGTATGTAGAAGAGCCCCAAACACAGCGCCTGCGTGTTACATATCTAATCTACTGTACACGCAATACTATGACCTGTACATACAACCTGTAGCTCTATTACATGTGTAGGACCAGCACAGAGGGTTCTATGTGTCGTGTGTAGGACCAGCACAGAGGGTTCTATGTGTCGTGTGTAGGACCAGCACGGAGGGTTCTATGTGTCGTGTGTAGGACCAGTACAGAGAGATCTATGTGTCATGTGTGTAGGACCAGCACGGAGCGTTCTATGTGTCGTGCGTAGGACCAGCACAGAGAGATCTATGTGTCATGTGTGTAGGACCAGCACAGAGGGTTCTATGTGTCGTGTGTAGGACCAGCACAGAGAGATCTGTGTCATGTGTGTAGGACCAGCACGGAGGGTTCTATGTGTCGTGTGTAGGACCAGCACAGAGGGTTCTATGTGTCGTGTGTAGGATCAGCACAGAGGGTTCTATGTGTCGTGTGTAGGACCAGTACAGAGAGATCTATGTGTCATGTGTGTAGGACCAGCACGGAGCGTTCTATGTGTCGTGCGTAGGACCAGCACAGAGAGATCTATGTGTCATGTGTGTAGGACCAGCACAGAGGGTTCTATGTGTCGTGTGTAGGACCAGCACAGAGAGATCTGTGTCATGTGTGTAGGACCAGCACGGAGGGTTCTATGTGTCGTGTGTAGGACCAGCACGGAGGGTTCTATGTGTCGTGTGTAGGACCAGCACAGAGGGTTCTATGTGTCGTGTGTAGGACCAGTACAGAGAGATCTATGTGTCGTGTGTAGGACCAGCACGGAGGGTTCTATGTGTCATGTGTGTAGGACCAGTACAGAGAGATCTATGTGTCGTGTGTAGGACCAGTACAGAGCGTTCTATGTGTCATGTGTGTAGGACCAGCACGGAGCTTTCTATGTGTCATGTATGTAGGACCAGCACGGGGGGGTTCTATGTGTCATGTGTGTAGGACCAGTACAGAGCGTTCTATGTGTCATGTATGTAGGACCAGCAGGGAGAGTTCTGGATCCTGCCCGTCATACAAGGCTTCGTTCAGATAGAGGAGCTGGTGGTGAACTATAACGAGTCCTCCGATGATGAGAAGAGCAGCCCGGAGACGCCCCCTCAGGAGAACGTGTGTGTGGATGACTTACACCCCCGATTCCTGGTGGCTGTCATCTCCCGAAGGAGCCGACATCGAGCAGGTAGATATGTGGGGTGTCATG